AATATACCTATGAGGCTTCTTGAACCCAAGCTCTCCATACATTCATAGATTAACTAGCTAATATATAGATATATGTATTCAAAATCCATGCTCATACATACCGCGCACAAGCCAATGCACCCAATGTCTCCTTGGAAAAAGCGCATATATATATATATACACAAATATGCCAATACTTTAGTAGGATGCTTCTCATGGACACATGGATCCCATCAAACCAATCTCCTGGTGTCACCAATCTCTACCCATCCCCACCAATCCACTCATTTCTTTTTTGCTGTTGGGAATGAAGTACCCAATCAGTCCTCATTCCAGCTCACCTCATTGAAAAAGAATCAACATATATAAATATCATAGTTCTCATGCACCAAAAATACTTCTCATGAACCCTAATTACTCATGAACATCTGAACACCAATCAGCCCATCAATCCATTGCAGCGCTCATGGCTGCAATCCTGAGATGGGCCCATGATGGATGTTGAGGCATTGAGCTCATCCAAAAATGTTGCTCGTCTTCAAATGGAGCCATGTGGCTGAGCCATGATTGGCATACACAAATAGCCTCATTGCAAATAGACAAACAACCTCATGCCTAATTAGTCATAGAGGTGATGGACTGATACAGTCAATTATATGTGATTCACCCATTCATGGTATAAGCGCACCTACCTCATTCTAGCATGCCAATCTCATTCCTCAGCCAAAAGCCCATAGGCTCATCACCTGGCTGATCCAGGTGATCCCTTATCTTTAAGGGTGGCCTTCTTCTGGACCATCTTCTCATAGAGCATCTTGCTCCTGAGATGGCACATAGCTCCATTAATGACCAAATGGAATCTATTGAGCTTAATTACTTTAAAAGATCACATCTCATTGAAAGTCTCATGATCTTCCCCATTAATTACTCGCCATTACTCAAAACCATTAATGATATAAAACTAATCTGTGGCAATAAAAAAAGTTCTAATCATACCAAGTCTCATCACCTTTTCCATGTCATCATAGCTCACATGCCCCATGCTGCCATAAGCGAGCTGCATCCAATAGACCCATCCTCAGCACAACAACTCTAATACCACCTAGTGAGGTATTGACAAAATAAACTACTTATGTCAAACCTAATCAACTCAAAAGAGCCTTATCTATGCACAGCCAGGATGCCACACTCATTGTTCTCATCCCAGAATGTCTCCCATGCCTCATCATCTGGGACCAATGGCTTGAATATGCCAGTCCTGAGATGTGATATAACTAATTTTCAATTGCTAATCAATATGACCTAATTAGTTGATTAATCAAACAATACTACCACTACCAATACACTCATCAAGAAGACATAAAAATATTGCTGCCTCATCCAAGTTGCATGAATGCTGCCTTGATATTGCTCATATACTCATCCAGCAAAATGTTCTTGTCACTGATCTGCTCATCATTGAATGCTGAATATATCGCGCCTCAGATCAATACCCAATAAAAATTAATCATACAGTTCAAATAGAATACACTCATCAACAAAGTTGCCTCCAATCCATCTGAGGTGCGTTCCTTCACATCCTTGCATTTGGTCATCTGTACCAGTGTGCTCATGATGCTCATCATTGCCAATGTGCAAATTGGCCTCCATTGGGGTTTGGCCTCAGTCCAATTGATCAAATAGTTCATTAAAGAACACATAGTTCATTCACACATAGTTCAACCAATAGAAAAAACATTACAATTTAACCAATCATTTTCACGCCAGTAACCTCATCCTTCTCATAGAGCATCCACTGCTGCATAAATTCCAATCTTTGCTCCATAGCGCATGTCTTCTCATCATCCCAATCTCAGCTGACCAAATGACCAAATACATCTAACAGCCATGGCTTCAGCTAATTACTTGCGTATCATCTGTAATTAAATCAATGACAAATCAAATAGGCAATCCAAAAATCAATGGCAAATCAAATAAGCAATAAAAATCATACCCAGGATCAGGCCAAGAATCTGACAAGCGCCCATCCTCTCAGATCTTGGAATCGCTGTTCCAAATGCCTGATCCTGTCCTAAGATGAACCCACTCTATAAATAGAACTCTATATATGCATGTCTCTACATATATACATATACAAAAACAAAAAGTATTAATATATTCATGTAAGAATCTCTGATCAGGGTTAGCTTGGCCATCCAATCTGCGCTCAACAGAACCCATGTTGCCACACAAGGCACCCATCTGCCCACTGATGGCTTCCACCCATGTCCTGCCCAGGGCAAACAAATCCAAGCTCAAACACTAATACTACTATTGGTGGCTGATTAGTTAATTCATCAATGAACTTATATATTTCCTCATACACCCAGCTCCTCATGCTCATAGCCAAATACACCAGCAGCCCAATCAGTCCAATGAGGACTGATGCCAGCACAACCATGATGATCTCATGCGTCATCATTCTGATGAGCTGATAGTAGCTGATGATGCTGATTGCTGATAAGCTGATGAGCCAATCCAACAGCAAGACTCATCCAACAGCCTTGCAATCACCTCGTTGGCAAACCTTATCACTGCTCATGTGGGTTCCCATGCAAATCTCATCATTTCACATCCTCTCCCAAAAGCTCCCTGGGAAAAACAACCCATGGATCAATCTAACATGAACACTCATCCAAAAGTTCTCATTGGGTTCCCATGCAAACCTCATCAGTTCAACTACCCCATAGTTAAGTCTCATTGGAAACAACATCCCATGGGTCCAACCCTACCCTTGCCCATAAGCATTGTTTTTCAAAAACCTTTATGCTTATCACCCCACGTTCTCTATGGAATGAGGGGGGTTCCTCATGTTGTGAAACTGGGTTCCTCATGCCCATGCTGGACCTCATCCTCATTCTTAGGCTCATAGTATGCCATGCTGCCAGCATTGGTGAATCCACATCCTATCCCATAGGTTCCATTGGGCCAATCTGCTCTCACCCAATGGCAATTCAGGCCTATAGTCCATATCCCCCCACCTGGCGAACCTCTCCAAAGAACCTGGTGGAACCCATGGAATGATCCAACCATAGATACACCAATGATCTGATGCTGCAGGGTGATCACCATCATGCCCCAAACTCATAAAGAATCTCTTCTTCATCCCATCATTCTTGTCCACATACACATACATAAAGTCATGCTGTGACAATCCCAGCATACCCTCAATGATCAGCCATACATTGCCCAGCACATGGCTTCTCATGATACCACCCAAGCTCAACAGCTCATTGGTCATCTCCTCTGCTGAGTGCACCATGGCTCAATACCTCACCAATACCCACCCAAACTAATAGCTTGTGCCAAAATATGCCCATGAATCATGGAACCAATGGTGTGCCCAGCAGGTTCTGATGTCCCCATCATCCCTTTCATTCCAATTCTTCCAAATACTAATTCCCTTTCATCCCAACCCTTCCAAATACTAATTCCCTTTCATTTCAATTCTTCCAAATACTAATTCACTTTCATTCCACCATTTGTCCAATTTTCCAATTCATGCTCCAGTCTCATCTCCTCCTCCTCCTCCATATTGGAAGGCCCATCTCCCTATACTCATTGGCAATGTGCCAATCTCTATCAGATTGGGTGTCATAGGCCATCAAATCATACCAATCCTCAACAGGCCACCAATCTGCCCATCCAGAATAGGCATCCACTCTCACCACATAGAGCCTCCATTGCCCATTCCTCCACCAAGCCCTGATATGCTTTGATCCAATTGGCATGGCTCTGATCTCTCAGATCTCTCATCAAATTTGTGCCAATAAGCTCTCATGGATCTCATGATGAAAGGGAATTAGTATTTGGGCTCTTATGGATCTCATGATGAAAGGGAATTAGTATTTGGGCTCTCATGGATC